CCCCCAACCCCTGGTCTCGCCCAGCAGCAGGGCAGGTGGTGACAGGAAGCTGTCATTTGTATAGGAGCACCTCGCCAGCTCTTACCTCCCACAGAACGGCTGGTGGTTTCGAATGGCTGACCTTTCAGCTTTCCAGGTAGCAGCTGAGGGCTTCACCATGGCCCCGCCAGAGCTACGCCTGTCCTTTCCTTCACACAGCCTCCTCAGCTCGTTGGACGCAAATGGCCTGACTTCCTGCCCGGGTCGCCCAGCCCCAGACAGCAGGCGGCATCGGCATGGGGCCACTCCTGCCACGTCCACACAGGGAAGCCCATGATGGACTGTGATCAAATGCGCAACTGGGTGCATCCATCACACTCTGGCCCACTGCGCAAGACTGCTGCCCTATTGGAAACTGCACTTTCCTGTTTTCAGAACCACAAAAACAGACCATTTTTCTACTTGTGGTACAGAGCTCATGTGTTAACTCTGGAATTGCCTAGCCCGAGAATGACATTAAATATCTGTTGAATGGTAGAATTAACTGGTGAATGAGCCAGCACACACCATGTCAGCATCATGCTTCTCTTGGGAAAAGTAACTACGGTATCCTTCCAGTAGGCATTGAGAACTCAGAGACAGCTGGGATGCCATGGAAGAGCAAACAGTTACATATGGAGCCTGACAACCCCCACCTACCTCCACCCAGTGGTTTCAAAGTAGGGCACCAGCAACTGTAGTAACATTTTCATACTTTGGCCTTTCGTCTGTGCACTAAAGGAGCCCTGATGATGTAGTGGTTACCTGCTGGGCTGCAAGCCGCATGGTCGGCCGTTCAAAACCACCAGCAGCTCCCAGGGAGAAAGACTGGGCTTTCTACTCCTGTAAACAGTTAAGTCTCAGAAACCCACAGGTGATCACTGAGTTAGCAATGATTTGACAGCAATCGAATTTGGGGGGCGTGGGGTGGGGTTAGTTTCTGTACATTAATGTCCAAACAACCACCAGATCTGCATAGGCTTACCTTTCCAGCATTTCCTCCCCAGGGACCCACAGCTGGCTTGGCCCTGGACATGCCCACAGTGGACTGCTGGACCCCTGCCATCAGACTCCAACCCCCTTTGATTCATTCAGTTGATACCAACTTCTCATCCCCAACCCTCCCTGTATTGCAAAAACAAATGTCACAGTCCTTAGCCTAACAGCCAAGGACTCCAAGCAACTCCTCACCAATGTTTGAAGAGTCATCCAAATTACCTGCCTCACTTCTTCCCAACCGGCCCGACAAGGAATTCCTAACTTCCTCCTAACTCCATTTCTTGTCCTGATTACCTCCATTACTCAACGGCCAGGCTTCCACAGGCAGCTTTGCTAATTTCAAAGGAGGCGGCTGGTGATAGAGTGGCTATGTGCTGGGCTGCTAACCGTGAGGCCAGCAGTTTGAACCACCATCTGCTCTGCTCCCGGGAAGATTTCCAGCCTCGACATGCACACGGACTGTTCTACCCTCTTCTATAGGGTCACTGTGGGTCACAATCAACTCGGTGGCAGTAAGTTTGGTGAGTAAAATGTTGGGTGGGTCGCAGTGCTAGGAGTGAGATGTCACTGCCTTACCTCTTCCCCTTCAACAGATGGATACAAATGCATATTTCTATCCCCTTTTCAGTTCCCATTAGTCTAACTCTAAGGAGCAGACTCCTGGTAA